TGCTGCTTGATCGTTTAAAGTAAACCCATATCTAGGAAGTGGTATGTTTTTGGATCGGGATGGTACTTTAGGGGGAATAAGGTGAGACGATAAAAGGAGACAAGGGCAAGATGGCCGAACAGAGGAGCTTCGCTTTGAGTATTCAGATTTCTTTGCACCCCCATTTTCCCTCATTCTTCCAGGCATTTAACGCACCTCCATACAGACACAGACGGATACACTCATATGCACACACACACCACGTACATACACCTTCACAGATAGTTGCTACTTTTGGGGGCGTGCACATTTTGATTGGCTATTAAAGTGGTCCCGGTGGATGTTGTGGTTGTTTGCGCCCCGCCCCTTTAAATTGCCATTTTGATGATAATACGGTAATGGGAGGGAGCACGTTGCGCTGTCGGCTATCATCATCCGGATATTACTCAATTTCAGTGGTTCGTCGTCCGTCCGTGTCCAGTACGTGTCCCCGCTCGGTCCCTGCGAGAACAGCGCCATTCGGGGGTAATATGCCCAACAACAAATGCACGGAATGTCGGTTGCAATGTTTGGTGGCACTGGTTGCGACAGTGCTGCAGCAGGCATTGGTACCACCACAATGCAGCATCATCTAGTCGCTGCAACACCAGGAAATTCTATTGCTAGTACTGCTAACACTACTTCAGCGGCAGCAGCCGCTGCTGCTGCTGCAGCGCAACGTATGGGTATGTCGTTTGGCATTCACAGTCTTCTGGGATTAGCTGCAGCACGAGATATGCAGCAGCAACAACAACAACAACAGCATCATGGTACCGTTACTGCTGCTAGTTATATTGCCGCTGCACCACAATACTGCACTCATCAACCTGCTGCTACAGCATCATTTTTCCCGCATAATGCAGCAGCGGCAGCAGCACCTCAGCTATTTGCTATGGAAATGCCGCAAGCGACACTGGATCGTGTCCATTACGATCCGATGTTAAATCAGGGTAATTCAATTAAATTTTTATACGTCTTGTGCGTTATAGCACTACTACGCGTATATGCTTTGGAGTTAGAAGCTAAAATTTCGG